GCACGGGGATGGGCACGAGGACGGGGACGAATTTAGCCTGTTATGTGCAAGTTTACTGGCCTCTTCTTTGGCCCCCAAATTTCAGGGATGGAGATGGGTTCGAGGTTGATGTTTGGCATCCAAGGGTGGGGATGTGGAAAAAACTACCCGTCCCTATACCCAAAAATTGTCAACCTTAAGTCAATGTATCAATATTCTGATAAACTAGCAATCATCATAGTGCTCATCCTACCTCTTTCAACTAAAAATATTTAGACTTATTGGTATGCCACTTTGTGTTCTAACAACCTTAATGGCTTTCCCTATCCTATATGGCATAGCAATAGGTCATATGCAAAAAATTTAAAATGCTTTGAATTCGACTTCTGCACCAAGACCGGATTGGTGAGCTTTACTTCCCGAATGAAATTAATGTTCAGGAGCTTATCAACTTCATCCTTGAGTGCTCTAGACCGCTCAGCATCCATAGATCTTCTCTTTTGTCTAATTAGTCGAGCCCTTGAGTTGACGTTCAATCTGTGGCACATTACCTCGGGGCTGATCCACCATGTCCGTATATATCCATGCGAACACATTGAGCTTTTTCTTTAAGAACCCCACCAAATTGTTTGCCAGCTCGTCGCTCAGACTGCTCCCAATTTTTAGCACGAGAGTTGGGTCTTCCTCGTTGACAAGTACTTTTTGCAACTCTTATGTAGGCCCTGTTACAAACTCTTCTTTGTGTATGCGAGAATCTATGGTGTCCTTTAGTGGTTCTGCCCTTGGCTCGGACTTAGTAATGACCATGGTTCTTAGGAGTGACCATTTTTTTGCAGCATGGATGACACGATTATAACATTCCTGAGATTCTTTTCTGCAACTCTTGATTGTTGCGACCCCACCTGGAGTTGGGAATCTCATTGCTTGGTAGCGCATTAAGGTGATTGCACTTAAGTCATCCAAGATCAGCCTCCCCATAATGACTTTATAAGTGGTTGGGCAATCGACCACTAGAAACTTCGTCATCACCGTCCTTATCTAAAGCTCTTCCCCAAGAGTCATAGGCAACTCAATTTTTCCCTTGGGGACTAAACTATCCTCAGTAAATTTCGTACAGTGGCGAAGAACATGCCCCAGGTCTCATTCTGTGAATCTCATTTATCGGAATACTCCTAAGAAAATGATGCTCATTGCACTACTATTGTTGACTATTACCCTGAGTACTCGGGCATTGTTGATCTTTGCTACGATTATGATCGCATCATGGTTATGGCGAGGGGATTGGTCACACTCCTCCTATCACCTCGTTTTCTTGCCTAGGCCACTTCAGTGGCTTTTGCTCGCAGCTCATCACTCAAGGGACCGAGTATGTCCTGGCCTCTCACACATATTGCTCATAAGAGCGCCTGAAGCTCCCTGCAATGTTGGGTTTCTCGTAGATCATACCCACCAATACATCATTGTTCGGCTGGGTTTGTTGGATCTAATTATTCTGCTCGTTTAGATTCTCGCGAGCTGGCTCCTCCTTGACAAATTCTTTCAAGTGGCCTCTTATAATCAGATCCTCAATAGCGTCTTTAAAAGCTCGACACTCATTAGTGTTGTGCCCGATTTCTCGGTGATACCGATAGTGTTTTTGGTGATCTCTTCTGCCTAGGGCTCCCTTCATTTTTTTTGGTATGGACAATCTCCTAGCCTCATGAAAGACTTTATAGATGTGAGTTACATCTTGATTCAGAGGAGTGTACTCTGCATACGACAGAAAAGGTTGTCTTTCCTGCAGTTATCCGTTTTTTGTCTAATTTGGAACCTATTTCGGTCCCTATCACTACGATCATAGCTATCTATTTATCTGTTGAGCAATCTTGTCGCCTGTCAAGGACTCTTTGGGTGAGTTTCTATTTAAGGTCGCCAGTGAGCTTTCCACTAGCTGATGTTTGGCGGATATTTGATAGAACTTGGTCAGGCTTAAATGGTCTTCACTTTGAAGCTCTTTCCACAGCTTCGTCTGTGGCCTTATACCTGCTATCAGCAAAGTCCAGATTGATTCCTCATGTGCATCCGCGACCTTTGCTTGTTCGTTCTGAAGCCTCGTTAAGTACAAGGTTAGAGTTTCATCTCTTTCCTAACTAATGTTGCTCAGATAGTTGAGCAGCATTGCGAACTGTCTCCTCGCTTGGCATTGTTACAAGTACAGCAAGGAGAATTGTTGTCAAGAGTGTATAATGTTAGCCTTAAGCCTTTTGTACCACCACTTGGCATCCCCAGCTAAAGTGATCGCGAAACAGCGGCATTTGACCAAGTCAAAGACCTGATGCAACTTCATCAAGTCATTCAAAGAGTCTAGGTGATCTCTAGGATCCCTTTTTCCATCGAACTTGCTCTCTGGTGTCGTGAATCCCTAGGGAAGAGGGGTCTGATGAACTTCTACCGTGAATGGAGAACTTATTATCTCTTCCACTGAATTATTCTGGTGGGCTCTTGATTGGCGATTTCCATGTTATCGTGGTTTCCGATGGTGGTTTTTGATTTGGTAAGGGCCATTTGACACTTCAGGTGATCAAGTCACTGAAATCGCTTGCTAGAAATTTTGAAAGTAGGCAGAAGCCCTCATTCTAGCGCCAAAATGTTAAGGCAAGAATTACACCAACTAAAGCGATCTAATTGACCTTGGTGGAATCAGAACCGATGTGTACGTGATTACGGATAACCAGAAATACAATAAATGTAATGACAATAATGTAAAGAACACATAAAGGTTTTAAAGTGGTTCAGCAAGTTTAACTCTTGAGACTACGTCCACTGTTGTTTTTATTTGCTTTGAGAGCTTACAAGTAAAGAGTATAATAACTGGAACAATTTTCTTACCCTTTTTTCATCATTGGAAAGGGTTTATATACAAGTTTTTTACAAAGGAAAGAACAAAATTAAAGGAATTACAATTAAGATTGAAATGCAACTTCGATATTCTCCTGATTGAACGCTAAGATCGGGCCATTATTGCTGTTGATCTAATCTCTTCTGAAATATCTGGGATTTGAGCTTATATGTGATTTGCTTGAACAATTGTCGAGATTGGTCATGACTAGCTTATGCTAGCTCGAGCTATATCTCAACGAGCTTATGCTAGGTTGAACAAGTGTTGAGTCGAACTGATTCTAGGTCGAATTATAACCTTGTGGAACTCTGACTTCTCCGAGCTTAATGGAAAAATCACATACAACAATGTTTATTAATTATTTCAATTATAAACTATGTGATTAACCGTGATAATAATGCATTAATTTAAGAATGATATTGATCTTTTACAAATTGAAAAATACGTGTACAACATTTTACAATTTAAAATATTTGAGATATCACATTGTAAATGTTTTGACAACTAATAATATATAGAGTAAACGACATGTTCCCACCCAAAGATTAGCAAAATTCCAAGTTCCCACCCTAGTTTCATTTATTCCCCACCTTTAAATTAACAAAAAAATTATTTAGTGTAATGGTGAAAGGGTAAAATGGTCATTTGAATTTCATTAAATCTTAAATAAAAATGAAAATTTTAAAATTACCCTTTACATCTCAAATTTCTCTCACAAGCACCCCTCATCACTCCCCTCCCTCGCGGCTACAGGAAAAATCCATATCTGGTTGGATTCCAACATTGTTTGACATCAACTCCACCACCACTAGCTTCCCCCACTCATCCCCGACAAAACTCATCCATCACCCAGTCTCGTTCGCCTCCATTTTGTTCGAATTTGAGCCTTTTCTCCGCGATTTTCCCCTCCCTCGCAGCTGCTGAAAAAATCAAGATCTAGCCGGATTCCAGCGTCGTTTGACGTCACCACCACCACCACTAGCTTCCCCCACTCATCCCTAACAAAACCCACCCATCCATCCCCCAGCCTCGTCTGCCTCCATTTTGGCCGAATCTGAGCCTTTTATCTGCGATTTTTCCCTCCTTTGCTACTGCCAGTAAAGTCCAAATCTAGTCAGATTCCAACGTTGTTTGACATCACTGTCACCACCACTAGCTTCCCCCATTCATCTCCGACAAAAACCATCCATCCCCCAGTTCGTTCGCCTCCATTTTGGCCAGATCTGAGCCTTTTCTCCCGATTTTCCCCTCCCTTGTGGCTACCAGAAAAATGGTTAAAAAATAATTTATTGGTAAGGGTAGCTTGGTAATAACATTCTCCATATTGGGTAAGAACTCAAAAATCATTAACATTGTTAATTTAAGGGTGGGTATGGAATAAATGAAACCAGGGGTGGGAACTTGGATTTTTGCTAATCTTTTGGTGGGAACATGTCCTTTACTCTAATATATATCACATTTCAAAGGGGTATATCTTGTATCGTAGAATCATCCACAATGTTAAGGCCAAAAGGATTACGTTTTATGCCACAACCACAAGATATTGAATTCTGATAAACATGAATAATTTATTTGCAATGAGAAATTATTTTTACTTTTACTGAAAATAATTGAAGAAAATATCTCAAGATTCTCTGCCTATTTAATAAATTTTCATCATTCTCTTTTCATTGTCAATGGTACAACCCGTTTACCCCTGTTATTTGATGAAACAGCTTGCCACCATTTACAGGTGGCCATAGTTTTATTTTACAAGGGGCTGATTGGTGTGAAAAATGGGAGTCCTGAGTGCCTGTTATGCTCTTTTAAAACGTAAATTGCTTTGTCAATCTCTTAACTTATGCCATGTTTTCATACCAAGGTTTTAATCACAGTATTAGTTTTATCATTTTGGTGATATTAAAAATCTGGGTAGTTTTGTTAGCACATCCAGAAATTAGTCGAGTGGTTTCAGTTTTCTGTTGCGAACAACCCGCTTCAATTCACAGGATTATTAATCAAACTCATCCTCAAATTTTCTGCTTCTATTTATTAATTTCAAACTTTCACCTTTACATAAACAAACCAGAGTTTTGAAACAGGGCTGGAGTTTAATCAATCTCCTCTCTGGTAACAGTAACTACCTAGAAAAAGAGAGAAAAAAAAAAGAATAAAATAAAAGTAACTATTTGAAAGTTGCCTTGGAGTTGGAGGATGAAGAGTATAACAATGAAGATGCAGAAAAGCTTGTATTGTTGCTAAGGAGAAATGATTTAGGCATCATTGTTGAAGATGAGTTATTATCTTGTTGACCATTTGTTGAAGAACCCTGGAGAAGCATATCAACTTTCAGACACTCCTCCCGCTCCTGCCTAATCTCCTTCAGCATGGCTGCTACATCTTTCATTGTAGGCCTATCATCTGGGCTAGGATTTACACACAGCAAAGCTACTCCTAAAGTCTGCAACATTTCCTGTATTTCAACTTCTGGGCGTGCCCGTAAACTCGGATCAAGAACTTCTACTCCACCTCTCTTCTGCCTCACCCAATCCACAATGTGAAGCCCATCAGGTATGGTAGGATCAATTGGTTGCTTCCCTGTTAGCACTTCCAACACAACAACTCCATAGCCATATACATCACTCTTTTCTGTTATCTTCATCATGTAACCATATTCTGCAAGCCAAATCCAACGAAATACAGCAGTTTTCAACAAGCATTAACATTCTGAAGATTGATTGAACATCAGAAATAATTATAATTACTTGAATAAGTTGTAAACTGGAGCAAAATTAGGAAGGAAAAACATTAATGATTGTTTGGCAGAGCAAGCTAGTGCAAGTAGTGATTATTGAATCATCCTTAATACTCATGAGATTTTGTTATATTCTTTATGAAGTAGTCTCATCTCTAAATAATCATTGAAATAATCAAACAATAATTTCGATAAATGTTAATTGAGATGATAAGTATCTTTTTTTTTTTTTTTTTTTTTGTAATTTTAAATATAAGTGTATGAATGAAATTTTAAGGATTTTTAAACTTACCAGGAGCAATGTAACCGTAAGACCCAGCAACAGTGTTAGAAGACCGAGCAAAATCTCCCTCATCAACAAGCTTGGCAAGCCCAAAATCAGCAATATAAGGTTCAAATTCAGGACCGATGAGGATGTTGTTGGCCTTGATATCCCTGTGAACAATGGGAGGCACACAGTCGTGGTGTAAATAAGCCAAACCCTGAGCAGCGCCCAATCCTATCCGATATCTCAACTCCCATTCCAAGCAGCTATCCCTCCTTTCATGAAGAAGAAAACCCAAGCTCCCATTGGGCATATAATCGTACATGAGTAATCTTGTATTTCTATTCCAACAGCAACCCAAGAACCTAACAATGTTCTTATGGCGGATAGAGCCAAGGGTCTTTATCTCAGCTGAAAAGGAATCACGAACTCCACCAATTCCAGTTTTATTATTTTGACAATCATATCCAGCAGCCATTGTTGTTGGCCAGAGCTTTTTAACCGCTATGACTTCTCCGTTTTCTGTTTCTGCACGATAAACAATTCCTGAACATCCCTTTCCAATAACGTTGTCTTCAACTAGACATTTCAAGACTTGTTCAACTGAGAAATTCAGCTTCTGGAATGGAGTGAATTGCCAAGGCCACGAATTGCCTCCCATCTCTGAGTCATTATCATCTCCTACCATTTTCCTGGCTCGAAAAATTGCAAGAGCCCCAAAGATTGCCAATGTTACGGTCAAGGTAATAAGTGAAGCAATGGCAATTTTGAGTCTTTGTGACTTCCTAAAACTGCCACTATTCAGCATTCCTGCAGTTGTGGCATTGCTCAGGAAACATGACTCGTGGCCAGTAGAGCACAACCCCTGGTTTCCTGCCAGCTCTGTTGCTGATAATTGTCGAAAGAGTTTACTGTCCGGAAGATAGCCACTGAAATTGTTGTAAGAGATGTTTAAAGAAACAAGGTTGTCAAGCCCAGAAAGTGCAAACAAGTCACCTCCAAGCTTATTGTGTGAAAGGTCTAATGTGGATAGTTTGTTGAGAGCAGAAATCTGAGGTGGAATTATCCCTGACAGTGCATTCCAACTCAAATTTAGAGAAATGTCGAGAGCTTGAATTTCAAACATTTCAACTGGGATCATGCCCAAGAGGTCATTGCTGCTAAGATCAAGTGATTGAAGACTTGAACAACGACCTAGAGAAAAGGGGATTGCTCCAGAGAGGGAGTTGCTACAAAGGATGAGTCTATTAAGTGATGTAAGTTGTCCAAAACTTTCAGGAATGTGACCTGAAAATTGATTTACTGAAACATCTAGCACCTGAAGCCTACTGAGTGAAGCTAAAGAGCTAGGTAAAGTACCTCCAAGGGTGTTGTTGCTGAGGTTCAACATCTGCAATTGAGTGCAATTGCCAATCTCATCTGGCACTGATCCAACAAGATGATTTTCAGACAGGTCAAGGAAACTAAGGTTATTGAGGAACCCAATTTCTTTTGGAATCTCTCCACGGATTCTATTGCTTACAAGCCGAAGCCGTAGAAGAGAACTGCAATTGCCAATCTCTGGAGGGATCGAGCCTGAAATGCCATTAGAAATTAAGAGCAACTTTGTTAAATTTTGAAGCTGAAAGAGGCCAGGAGGTAAGCTGCCAGTGAGTGCATTGTGTGACAAATCTAGAGCTTCAAGACTCCTGCAACTAGCTAATGACGATGGAACGCTTCCTTCAAGCTTATTTTGCCAAGCAAAGAAGACTTGTAGCTGTGTTAACATCCCAAGCTCTGCTGGAATAGAACCCGATATCTGATTGGTATCAAGCTGCAACTGTAATAGGCTTGTGGCATTTGAAAGAACTGGGGGGATTGAACCGGAGATGTTATTGTTACTTAACATAAGCTCTTGGAGATTTGAGAGATTTCCAAAAGACTGGGGTATGCTTCCAGAGAAAAAATTTAAAGAGAGATCGATAGTCTTCAATCTTTTACAGTTACCTATTTCCTCAGGAATTGGCCCATCAAAGTTGTTTTGCCATAGTAACAGTTTCTCCAGCTTTAGTAGCTTGCCCAGCTCTCGTGGGAGTGAACCTGAGAGATCATTCTCATAGAGAAACAACACAACAAGCTCTGAGCAGTTGCCTATTTCAGGGGGTATCTCACCAGATAGCATTGTAGTATATACTGATAGTGTCTGAAGCTTGCTTAGTTTACCCAATGAAGCAGGTAAGGAACCGGCAACTTTAGTATCAGCAAGACCAAGCACCATCAAATTCTGGCAGTCTCCAAGCTCATCCGGGATTTTTCCTGCAATGTCTTTGTTTCCTCCAGCTCGTATAACTTCTAAATTAACCAGTTTGCCTAGTTCAACTGGAATATTCCCGCTTAAGTAATTGTCGAATATTATGAGATTCTTGAGGTTTTTGCAACCACCAAGCTCTTTTGGTATCTCACCCGTAAGCTGATTGGAGTTTAAAATCAAGTCCTGAAGATTAAGGAGCTTCCCTATGCTCGTAGGAATGCTACCAACAAGACTGCTTGAACTAAAATCTAAAACTGTCAGTTGAGTACAGTCTCCTACATCAGGTGAGATTGCTCCAGTGAGATTAGAACCAGAAATGGTAAGCTTTTGGAGGAAGGGAAGAGAGGAGAAATTTGAAGGGAAGGGAAGTTCTAGCTCAACTGACTGGATATTGATTTCAGTGACAAAGTTTTGGGAAGAACAAGTAATGTAAGACCATTTGCAAGGATTGGAATCTGAAAGTTTCCATGTCGAGAAAGGTGAAGGTAGTGAGTGAGAGTTGTTAAGCCAAGAAACTAGCGTAAGAACTTCAATATTCACTGCAAAAGCATTAACAGATAGTAAAAGAGAAATGAGAAGACGGAGGAAAAAAGGATAGTGGTGGTGGTGGAGGATGTTGAAAGATTGGCTTAGCATTGGATTGTGGTGGTGTTTGTTGAAGAGTTGTCTCGGCATCGGCATTGGCATTGGCATTGGCAATTGCTTCAAATCCCAAACCACTCTTTCTTGGTTTTGCATTGGGTCTCTCTCTCTCTCTTTCTTGTGATTCTTATCTCAGACACTCACTCAACAAATGCTGCCAATGCAATTAGTCTATTACAACTCTATTTACTTTGCAGGTAAGCAAGAAGAGGGTAGAGAAAAAAAAAAAAAAAAAAAAAAGTGAAATAACAATAAAAGATTGCAGCCACATTACAATCACCATCACCCTCGGCCTCGGGGTTCTGTTCTTTTTCTATATCTTCTAGTCTTTTATATTAAGGTAGGTGTTGTACTATAGTCATTACCAGATACCACCATGTGTTTTTGCATTGTTTTCCTCAACATAGTCAGTGACGCGGACTGTTTTATTTTTTGATAATCGGACCACTCTTTTGAAAACCAGTTGCACCATTGATTCTTTTTTAGTTTTTTCTCAAAGAGGAAAATTTGGTTTCAAAACTTCATGAAAGCTGCTTCTATAGTGTTTATCATCATAGAGTTGTATGGAAGTGCTTCTAGGAGATGGTTTTTCTTCACTTTCATAACAATGGCAGATATATTTCTTCTTTAACATTCAGTATCTATTAATCTTTGAATATGACTACTAGTTTCTATAAATTCATTTCCCAGATGGAATTTCTCTCATTCTTCTCTTGAGCTATGTTTTCCACTTTGTATATTCTCTTTTCCCAAACAAGTAGCCATGGCCAATATAATTATGTAACAAAAAGCAAATTATGCTACACGGTTAACAAGAGAAGCATAAATATTTTCATGGGACAGATAGAGTCTCTGAATGCAAAGCATATGTACTACACTCCGTAATAATCACAATAAGAAATCCATATAGATGCATCATCTTTTCTTTGTTTTCTTGTCACTGGTAGTCTTACTATATTTAATCTAGTGTGAACAAGAGTACCATTGGCATTGGGCTCTTCACCACAGCCATTTGCACTGCTCATTGTTCTGTTTCATTGAAACTACAAAACCAATATATATAAGAAAAAAAAAAAAAAAAAAATCATACAGCAATTAATCTATATACAGTATCAATTGCTTCTCAAACTACAACGTTAACTTTTGTTTTCCTGTATTAGCCGGCCCTAGCTTGTAATTGGCTCTAACTTTCCCCCGTCCAAGGCATGTGTTGGGGTTACAATAACTTTAATAAAAGGATAAACCCTAAGGCCCTCTAGGTCACCAAGTCAAAAACATATTACTTTTAATCCAATAATTTTTAGTTCATCTTTTGACTGTTGCATTGGCTTCAATAATTGACACAACATGTTTGAACAAAATACCCACGAATAAAAAAAAAAAAAAAAAATCTAACTCGAGCCTAGTGTCCTCAGCAAGTAGCGAAGGAAGAGAGAAAAAGGCTAATCATATTGCAAATATTTCAAATTTTAGTGTAGCTAGGTAGGATAGTAGTATTATTTGTTTGTGGTGAAATGAAATTGAATACGTGATGATCGTGTTATTGAATTTGGAAGTGTTGAAATTAAAGGGCATCCCTGATTTTGAGGGTAAATCATGTGGATGAATCAAACTTTAGCCATTTGGCCTGACTAAACCTACTCCGCTTTAATTAGCTAATAATACTTGCTTAGTAAATATTCAAATGCAGGAAGAATGGTGCGCCGAGCCCAGAGTTCAAGGGCGTGACCTTGGAACTCCCACTATTGGAATCTATACACGTTTTGTTTTGACAAATTCCTAATCAAATTTTTCCCAGAAGCATCTCACATCGCCTTTACCAACTTAAGCTACCACCCACCCCCCATTAAATTTTTAGGAGACAAAACATAATCGGAACCATACTTTCTTCGAATTTCTAGGCCTCGACCATTATAGCACCACCACATGCTTATTAATTAGCATAATAACAAATAGGGAACCAAATTGTACCAATATTTTGTTAAGTTACCATATTCTAAAAGTCCACCCCTATTACTCAAACTTCAATACTGTAATAACTAGTGCACCATTTGCATTATTGTAATATACTTGTGAATTATATGTTAGAAAATAATACAGTCATCGAAAGTAGTACACTGAATTCATACACCGAATGATGTGACACAATCTTAACTGTTGATTAATTATAAATTAATATTAATTGACGATCAAGATTGCGTCACGTCATTCGATAAATGAATTTGGTACATTACTTTCAGTGACTATAGCATTACTTTTATATGTTTATCTCAATTAAGAGTATATATATAAGAAGAAGAAGAAGAAGAAGAAAATTAAATAAAAATTTTATCTATGAAAATTCTGTAAAAAATCCTCGTAAAAAAATAAATACTAATTTTTTAAACTTCAAAAAGAATTACTTTAATGAAACATGATAAAATATTTTGAATGGCAAGACAACCAAACGAAGGTTACCAAAATTGGGCCATATCGGGTTGTCGAAACAGGCCCAATCTGTGATTCCATTCGTGGTAACTTTGGAGCATAACTTATTTTCTGTTGAGTCTGGACCGGGTCTAGCTGACTGGCATGGGCCCTTTCCCTCCATGATTTTGCGGTTGAGAGAAAGCCTTAGCTTTGCCGTTTGGCACCCAACTCTTGGAGTCTTTCAAAACAAACAACTTAGAACGACATAAAGTTGTTTTTTATTCCAATTTTCCTTCAGTTGCACACACACTGTAAATTTTGAAGAAACATTTGCTTATATATTATGGCCTCTTCACTTATTCTTCATAATCTGAGTTCGATTTCGCCTGCCTTTTCAAAATGTTACAAAAACCAAACCCTAGCACTTACTCACTCGCAGTTTCTTCACTCAAATTCATATTTAAAGTTGAAGAAGCCATCTCTGCTCTCAAATGTCAAAACCAGGAACCTCAGAGCCCAAAAACCTCGTTCATCACCCCTTGTCTTTGCTGCTCAATCTAGCATCGTCAAAAGTTAGCTTTCCTCTCTTTAATTTAATTTCATTTGGTTTGCACAGCTTCTCTGCTTTTCTTGGATTTTAATTTTCATTTAATTTCTTTTATGTATTTTTTATCACGCATTGGCATTAGGAATTGCAATGAAAATGTTATTATTTTCATTAAGAAACAGTCATTTCGTTTGTTTTTAAATGAAGAGACTAAACAATTATAAGGTTCACTGCCTTGTCAATTTCTTTTGCCTATTTATAAGGTACCCTCTCACATCCCCAGCGGGTCTCGTTGAATGTTATATGTAGTTTTGTCTTCAGGTTAAGATCCTTTTGTCAAATAAATTCAATCATGTTTGGATAATTCTATAAGATTAGTGCTTGAGGTTGTTGGCCATGGATATTTTTTTGTTTCTTCTGGAAAGCTTCTGTTTCAACAATTAATTCCTGGTAGGTCATTCTCTAATAGAAGTTTACTGCTGTGGTCCTGCTATTTCAAGTAAACAGCACACTTCATTTGAGTTTTTTTCACACGTTCTTTGCTAACTCCGACCTTATCAATTCCTTGAAATAGTTCTGCAGACAGTTTGGAATGTTGGGAAGGATGGAATTGAGGCCGGAACCAATCTGGTGCCTGTAAGTTAATTTTCTCCCTCTAGAAATTTTGTGTTTCAAGTTAAAGTTGCAGTTAAAAGATTGCTTTGTTCATCGTTTTGTTGCTAGGCCTCTGTACCAAGACCAGTAGCAAGGATTTCAATTACAGCTGTGGCATTGGCTATTTCACTCTTTTTACTCAAGTCATTCGTCTCTACTGCTTTCTTTGTGCTGGTGTGCAGTTTTTTTTCTTATTCTTTCCTTTTATTAATTTGTAAGGATAGAGGATTGATGATACTAGTTTGCTATGTACGAAATGTTTAGAATATCAGTAGCAGTTTATGCATATGAAAAGTTAATCTTTTTTTTTTTTTTTTTTTTTTAAAACAGGAAATTATCTACCTATCTGGGGCCAACACTAACTTTCTTAAAGAATATTGATTTTGTTATTTTATTTTTCATTTCTTTTCTTAGGACTAATTCTACCATCATTATGACTTGCATTCATTTCGTCCGTTAAAATGGAATACTGCCATTAGAGTAAAAGCTTCTAATAACTGAATTATTTCCTATTGACTTAAAATCTCTTCATTTTCAGCATGTTCTTTAAGTTGGTAATCATTTAGAAGTTAGACATTTTAACCTTTACTATAATCTCACAATTTGTCTGTTTACTCTTAAATTTTTATACTATTTCACAGTAACAATTATTCGCTGTATTTAGAAGGAACAAAAGATAAGAAATCAAGATATCCTCTAAACAATCTTTCTAAAGTGGCTTTTGAGCATTATATTATATTGGTATTTGAATAATATATTCTCTGTTATGAGCAGGCCACGATGGGATTGGCATATTTCATATTCATTGCCTTGAACAAAGATAATGGACCAAAAGGGGGTGGTGGTTCCAGTTCCACACCTACCTCTACGGAGGACTCTCTTGAAGAAGCTAGAAGAATAATGGAAAAGTACAAGTAACAAATGCAGGAGGGATTTAGCCTGCTAACAATCAATCATCCAATTTTTGTTTGATTCACTTCTTGGAGAAATGTTGTGGGTATTCACTGAATTGAGGGAACAATAAATCTTCATAAATGGAATGTGTATATATTTTTCGTTTTTCATAACAAGGCTCGCCATATGTCGCTATTCTCCAGTGATGTTATCTTGGGTTAGCTTTAAGCCATGGTTCTGTTTATATGCATGGTGATAGAATAGCTTCTTTATATATTAATATTTATTTTTTTTATTTTTTTTTTAAAAGTTATAAAATGTTATATTTTAAACTTCAATTCGGTAGCAGACCAGCTATTTGCATATTGCACCGTACTAGGACTTTATACGCATCTTGAGCAATATGCCTATGAATTTTTTCATTGAAACTTGATCGGACCTGCTTCCTTTACATAGATACAAGCAGCAAGGCTGTTGATTTAAAGCTATCTGGTGCTTTTACTAGACCGTGGCACTGTGTTATCAGCAATGATGATGCTCTGTTCCTGAATCCTGAGATTCATATAATTTCTCTTTTAATTGTGCATTCTGT